TGCTCCCCAAGTGCCACCGGCTTCTCCTTGGCTGTGCCTCAACTGGTCTCCCACAGATGTCTGCATGTGCCCTTTGCCAAGGGGACTCTGCTGGCCATGCTAGCTCCTTATGCCTAGTCTCCCCTTGCCAAGCCTTTTGTCTTCCTTCGCTGCCCTCACTGTGCTCACAGTCACCACAGTTTACCAGCATCTGCCCGTATCGTTAACGTGCCATTTTACCCCCTCTCCTTGGCTACCCACTGACTTGATCAAAATAAAGTCAGAGCAAAATTCAAACAGATGGTAGCTGCTCTGTTCACCCCATTCTTTTCTATTTCTTTTATCAACACACTGTATTCATACAAGTCACACAATTGTACTTTTCTCTCAGCTCAGTTTTGCCTCCACTATCACAGCCAACATAGTTCAAATCCCATCAAGCCTTCTGATGGCATTGGACAGAAAACCCTTCAACTGGGCTCAGAGCAGAGACACCTCAGGATAATTTAACTGGCAAGAGTTAAAAAAGGAAACTTGTTTCACGTAAATGAGATGAAGTACAAGGTGCCTTACAGATACACGGGCCGATGAGCTATAACCCTGAGTGTATGACACTGCAAAAGCTGCATACAAATGAGCAGGTAGTACTGAGAGGTAATCAGCTGATGACATGACAAGTTTAGCCCTGACTCATCTAGAGAGAGGTTTTCATTTTAGCAGCAGATCAGACCTGCATGTTACACAGTCAGCACAGCTTGATTTAACAAAAGGATATCAACCAGGGACCATAGCCTTGGTACGCTGTGCTACTGAGTCCAACCAGTAAAGACAAGACTGCCATTGCCTCAGAGAAAACACCACCATCTTCTCCGGCTTCTTCTCCATCAGAATGACTTCAAGAGTGTGGAGGGCGGGATGGGGTAGCACAACACAGGCAGCAAAGGCAGCTGCCCTTCTGAGGGCATTTTTCAGTACTCACTGTGCATGAGATGTAAAAGCTGGACTCAGGTCTGGAAGAGAAACTGAGATTTTGCAAAGAAGCATGATGGTCTAGACATATATTTGCTAGAAGGAGGAAAGCCGCCAAATAACAAAGATCTCAATTACAAAGTGATGAGCATGGAATAGCCTTCATGTCTCCAAAATAATCACATCAACAGGATAAAAGAGGCCTTGATGCATACTAGCAGCTATGAGAAATTGATGCACATAAATTTATGCAATCCACCAAACTGACATTGAACTGAGTGAAGAAATGTGTATTGAAACACTCAAGAGAGAGACGAAAGACCTGCGAGAACTCCATTTAGAGCATAGCAGCAAGCTAAGCAAAACCTGGACTATTCAGGAGTATTACATGGAAAAATAAAGAACACCCACCACCTTCTCGTGTTCCTTCAGAAGTAATGCCCAGAGGAGTTGCAG